AATAAACATGTCGGTAAAATGATTGTGTCGGGGAAATGATCATCGGTGAAACATTTGTCGGTAAAATGATCCTGTCGATAAAATGTGTGTCGGTAAAATGATTGTCGGTAAAATGATTGTCGGTGAAATGAACCGGATCCCATATTTTGAAGATAATAGTCGTATAGGTTGGTAAATTATGTTTAGAATAAATATTGTCACTTATCCTGTGTACCGATTGATGGTTATACAAGATTTTAACTTTTGTCTTCTTGACATTGATGGAAAAATTACGAGTATTATTGAAATTTATTATTAATAGTAATTTTTTGATAGTAACTAATGTGAAAGCCACAGAATTAACTGATTATTGAATTATGTGACTGCTCTACCAGAAGGAAGTCAAAGTTGCACCTTGATTATTGAATTTTATAAATTTGAGAAGGCATTAGGTATATTTAAAAACTTCAATTAAAATAATAAAATTTTAGATCATGGATATAACAATTTTCCATATCGACTCCACCTTTCCAAACATCGATGATGTTATTGCAACCAATACAGGATTCCCTACTATAATGCACATTATAGTATTTTAAGAAAATGGTAATATGCGATGCGCCAAGACATTTCTGGGAACAACAGCAAATTTGTAACTTACAGTGGAGATGGAAATCATGCTGCTGTTAATGTTAAAGTACTTGATTTCACATTCAATCAACTTGGTGAAAAATACTACTTTCCAATTGAGAACAATTTGTAAAGAGTCAAATTAACCAAGAGGCTTTCTATGGTGTAAAAGAAAGAATTTGGTCTGTAAACAAGTAAATAACTTGCTTATATTTTTCAGACTGCATTAGGGGAAAAGTTCGATTGAGACCATTTATTTTATAGACTTAACGAGATTGAATGAAAGGTGTTTTTTTAAGAAACTAAGTCAAGAATTAGCTTCTGCAATACCCGTCAATTCTAATCGTATAACTACCAATGAAAGGGTTAAAATTGACACTTAGGCTCCTCAATCTTTTATCTATTGACATTGAAAAAGATAAAACTAGAAAGAAAGAATTGTTAGTTATGCAATAATAGAATTAGATACTTTGAATAAAATTATCATAGTAATTGAAACCGGTAAAACTTCAAGATATCTAGATGAAAATTATGAATTTCAACCTCTTTGTAAGAAATAATTATTAATTATCATGCAAGCAAGTTTGTATTTTCTTCAAAAACAATCCCAAATATTTACTTATTAATTTAAAATAGGTAATTTATTGGAACAACCATCATTGGAATACTAATATTAGATTTACATTATCGCTATAAAGTCCAAATCAGGATAATGTTCAAATAGCTGCACTTAAAAGACTTGAAAGAGAGGCTTTTAAAACAGTTCCAAATGTAATTAAGGAATATGAATATTTTGAATTATTAGCTACAAATCCATTACCAATTTGATATTAAAAAAAATAACAATAAAAATAATTATAATTTTTTTTTACTATAATATATAATAAATTAAAATTTCTTAATTTTTTAACAAACTTTACATATAAACAATAAACCTAAAAATATCCTTTGTATAATACAGATCTTTTGTAATGAACATTACCAACGTAGAAGTATGAATCATAAAGCTACTCTATTTAATAAAATATTATTCTAAATTTTAATTAATTTTAATAATTATTAAAATATATAATACAAATAATAGTTTATAAACATTTTTAATTACAATTTAACAATTTAAAATCAAATATTTTAATAATTAACGGATAAATTTAAACAAAATTTTAATATATTATAAAATTATAAATATTAAATATCAAAATGTTAGCTAATTTTAATTATTATTTATAAAATATTTATATAAATTTACTAATATAACATAATTAAGGAAATTTTGTAAAATCGTAAATTCTTCTATCAGTTTCTCAATTTCACTAAAACAGATGGTTATGCTGAATTATTTTTTAATTTGTTTAGGGAGAATGTTCTTTTCAAGAAGGGCAAGTTTTATTCCAAAATATTTTATTGAATAATATGAACTCATCGATGTGCCATCCTCTGCTTTTGCAATATATAAGCCAGTTTCTTCTGCTAAAATACAAATGCATTCGTCATATGAATATTCCTTTTTATTGATTTTAAACTCTGTGCAACTTTTTGAATTTATTGCGAAATATTACTTTTTCTTTTTTGAATTTTTGTGATTTATTTTTTGTTTTTGCCTTGCTTTTTTTGAGTCATCATTAAAGAAAACTTGTTATAAAAAAAATTCTGTCGATAATGTCCAGTATAATTTTATAAAACGTCGAATATAAATAAAAAATATCAATTAATATAAATTTTAAAGGTAAAATAGATAAAAAAAAAATAAATAAGGTTAAATTTAATTCAATATTAATAACCATTTAATTATGTCAAATATGTGAGATTCATGTTTTAAATATTTTCTACTTTTCATTTAGCCTTTAATAATAAGTGCATGCAATTTGATCTAGTTCTTAATTATTATTAGCGAATTGTTCTATATTATCTTCATTAAAAAATTTTTCATTGTTGATTATTAACAAATGCATATCAAGCAGCTGAACATAATAAAAAATATTTAGTTCAAATGTCGATACAGTCGTAAAAATACTAGAGATAAAAATTTTAGATTTCATGCATTCTGAAGAAAGGTTAAAATAAAATAAATAAATTCGTCAGTCTGTTATAATAAAATTTTACAAAATTTGTTTTAATATGGGAGATACTATATTCGTAACTCGATTTTAATAGTAATACTCCCATATATTTAATTAATTAATTAACCCTTTAACTTATGCATAATTTGAAAATTAGTATCTCTTATTTTAAGTTTTATACCGTTAATAATTTTATTTATTTTTTTTTGCATAACATTGCTTGCCCTATAAACTGATTAAACATTTAACAAGCAAGTTACAATTTTTGAGAATAATATATCAAAAGGCTAGAAAAAACAAATTTATTATCATATCATAAAAAAATTTTTTTTGTAGAATATCAGTTCAGTTTTATGTAAATATAAATAAGCGAAAGTATTAGAAATTTCCAATTTGTTTATTTTAATTTTATTAGCGTTAAAATAAAGTATGAATGATTTTTTATCCGAGTTGTTTTTAAAATAGAAAGGAGATAGATACTTTATAATATTTTTAATTATTAATTACATTTGCTTGTTCAAGTCTAATAGGATATTAAATGCATTATTTTTCATATTTCAAAATTTAAAATACTTCATAATCTTCTACTGAAAATACTTCTTCGCTCTTTCTTATACTTTTTTCATATCCATCTTGCTTGCAATAATTAACATCATAAACACTTTCTTCCCTCTCAGAAAGAGTTTCCATACAAAGATCATAACAAAATGAAGGATTACAACCAACGTAGTAAAATATTGCACGATCTATATCATTCATATAACTTAAAATTGAATCTTTAAAATTATCTTTATTCTTAAAAGAAAATATAAAACTATCCTTGGTTTGACCCACTCACCTCCGTATTTTTCTTCTTCCATATTAAAGGATTATATCTTCCAAGAATCTCTTCAGTTCCTTTCACTTTTATGAGTGTGACTGTATGAGGTATATTAATACATAATTCATGAAAATTTTCAGGAGTAAATCCATCTCGGCTTCCCCTTAATAGTAATTTGAATTCATATGGAAAATACAATTCTCTTACATAAGCAAAATTGCTTTTAAGTTCTACTTTATCAATCTACCTTGAAATGATGGAAACAATATTTAAATTAACAATTTTTGTATCAATAATTCCATCAAAATTTCTACTTCTAGGGAGTAATACACTATCATTAGGTTTACTTTCAGAATCCAAATAGGAATTTAATAAATCTTGATAGAGTTGATGTTTTAAAAGGTTTTTATATGAATGAACTTTTTTGATAAATTCATCAGAGGTTAAACTAAAAAATCTAATTGACGGTAAACACTGTTGTAAAGTATTTTTCATTTTTCTGAAATTATCATCTGACCAAGTTGAAGGATCTGAAATTAATTCATGATTTCTCTCAAGTCCCCATTTCAATACATGCTCCTAAACTTCAATTTTTTCATTTGTAAATCATCCTTTTAATAAGCGAAACTAGAGATTTTTCAGGAATCGAAGCAAAATCAAGCGATTCAAATATCTTTTCGGGTGATTTAACCATTAAGTCTGAACAAAATTGTTGAATTTCTGATAAAGAAATGTGTTGAGTGCTTGTTCTATGAATAAGTTCAAAGTTCTGTTCCATCCATTCAGATTTATTTTCAATTAAATATTTTTGTAAATATTCAACTAGTTCTTGAAGATGAAGATCAATAGCTGCAACCAAAACTTTAAAAATAATCGAGGTGTCATGCTCATTTAATGAAATGATTCCGCCATATATATATCTTATATTATTAATATCAAACGTTATTATTAATTTGGGATATAAAAAGAAATCAACATGGTTTTTTAAAATGACTTACTTTAAAATAATTTCAAAGATTTCCGGTAAAATATTTGGTAACTTGATATGAGTTAGGGAGCCATCATCATTGTCTTTTTTATTGGAAGCTAAAGTTCGTCGAAAATATGGTGAACGGTAACACAAAATAATCATGTGCGCTCGGAATATTTTCACGTTTGGGTCCTCTCCAACTTCGATTTTGATATCATAGTATTCATCATCATTTAATGTTTCGATAAATTTTGACTTAATTTGGGGAAAAATTGTGCCGTCATAATTTTATTGATGGAATTTTTGAATTGTAAATTTGAAAAGAGAAAACAATTTTGTTAATCATCTGATTCTGATTTAATTTATATCACGTGGACGAAAATCATTTCCTTATTGATTTATTTTTTACTAGTTTATTTAGGAAAAAAGCGGAAATACTTCCATCGTATAATAAATATTCCCATTTTATACTTAATAACTTTAGACTCTTCCTAATATCTTTGCTCCTAATTTTACAAAAACATTCTAAATTATTGTCTCTTTCATTTTCATGTAACTGCTCGTTTTTTTTCTAAAAAAAATATTATTTATCAAGAATTAATAAATAAAACTTTTTATGCTCATCTCATAAAAAAAAAGATGTTTATCTTATTGATTTTCAATAAAGTGAGGTGTCACATTGTTTTTTAGGTTATAATGTATTTATTTACAGTTTTAATTTGTTTTAATGAACCTAAGTCATTATTAAATTTAAAGATTTAGGATTTTTTATTAGGAAATCGTAATAATACATGTTTGTTTCACAAAAATCTTCAATAGTAAATTTTACTATAGAACTATGAATATGTCTACGAATGAATGACATACATTTTTCATACATTCATTTAGATCTAATATAATTAAAAAGATATATTCCTGAATTAATATAACATTTTTTAATTTATTCTGGATAATTTTAACGATATTTATATTTATTTTGCAATAAATTCAGTAATTGTTTATTTCTATGTAGTTGTATAATTGAAAAGCTAAATTTATTCTCCGTTGTTGATTGACGTTCTCCATTGGCGCTATGATAAACGTCGTAAATCTTGGTGTACTCGTCGTTTGAGGATATAAAAATCATATAAAGTTCGCAAGCTTTATTTTACAGGTACTGTACACACTAAAAAAAAGTGTCGCATTTTGGAAAATAAATATTCTAACAATGGATAAATTTATTTAATTATAAATGTAAATGAAAGAAAAACTAACATGCCATGCAAAGTCTTTCCAGACATTAAAAGTGAATTTATATATTGACTATCCTTAGTTATATGACGTAAAATCGTAATTTTAGTTTCAGTATAAATGAACGTTCTTTGTTTTCCGACATTTTTTTACATTATTGGTCAGTTTCATTCGCATATTTTTCTTAAAATTTTTCCCTTCAAATACTTCATTCTTGCACTTACTGTTCGAGTTTTTTTCTCAAATCAAATGTTAAAAAAATTAATGTATCAAACTTAGTATAAAGAAGTTTTTTCAAATTAATTTGCGTTGGTTTTTATGACTAAGTTAGGCTAAATAGCTTTCTTTACATCTAGTTAACGAAATATTTAAATCAACGCCATTTTCATATGACCTTACATCATTCAACACTTTTGATGACTTCTCATTTTGGCCATCTTCCATTACCTTTCTATAAAAAGGTATTTATTTACCAATATTTTGTTAACTCTAATGTTTATCGGTAATGATAAATTCTAATAATGTCACGTGTTTTCAAGAATGCGAAGTAGAAATGAAATAAAAATGAACACGTAATAAGTCAGTCAATTTATTCGAATGAAAGTTATTATTAAACCTAATTACGTACCCTTAAGTCACTATTTGAAAGATACCGCGAAAATGGATCGCTATATTAAATTTTTATATTTATTATTGGTACACATTCGGCGATGAAAATTTTCAGGCATCTTAGAATGTTGTCTATTGTTTGGTTCAGGGATTAATCAGGACGAGATCAAAAGTATTTGCTTTTGAGTTTTGAGTGAGACTCAATTAACTCTTGATTCGGCAAAACTATTTGTCAGAATAGTAAATTAAAGAAGAAAAAAGACTTATTTAAGACGTGACTATATTGGTATTCTTTACATCTTATACGATAAATTTTCGGTTTAAGACATTTTTGTAGAAATTTAATATCTCTCATATATTATAACCTCAGAAATAAGAAAGAATTAAAAATTCTCTGATCAATCCAGCTCCAGTTTCGCAAAATTTGTTTTCCTTGAGTTTTTTTTTTTTTAGAAATCTTTAATGATTTAATGACAAGAAATAATACAAAACAAAACTTGTTTTGTTGATACTTTTAGCAAGATAATAATAATTCTTAATGTATAACCTTTTAAGCCAATTTCCACACACATAAAATTGTTTATTATTTGTTATAATTTAAAAAGTATTTCGTAAATTCGCTTCCGTACTGAAAATAATACAAATTTTGGCGTACTTAACGTTAATATACAACATTACTGCAAAGTTTACGGAAATAAATCATAAGACCATAACGGCCAAAATAATAATTAGAAACTTATTCTCTAAAAGCCGGTTTTCATTGCCATGGTTAACAATTCACTATTAAAGAACCAAGTTCAAATTACTTAATAAGTAATCCATAAAATAAATTTATTATTTCTAAATTCAGTTGTAAAATTCCGTGCCAACAATTCACCAATAGTAATGTAACACTTTCCATAATTTTTAGATCATTTGCTAAAGAAAATACAAAAGACCCATTTCCCAAACCAGCAGCTGCCTTTTAATTGTTACAGGGATTGTTAAATAAACATTCGCAAATTATTATTTTAGAAATTTGATAACAGGTAGGAATAAGGTTTAAATTATTTTTAACCTCAAAGGTTTACATATCGAATCTTGGATTATAGTTTTAAATACCTTTATTATTTTTTTTTTTTAAAAAATAAATATTATCATTATAAACCGTATTTGCCTTAAAAATATAGAATGAGAAAGAATGAAGGCCATGTCGTTCGAAGTGGAAGTCATTTGTTAAAAAGGTCATATGACACGAAGAGTTTTACAACTGTAAACTTTTTAAGTGCTTTTCTAATTCTAGAAATTCTGTTTGTTTGTTTAAGAGAGTTTGCAGCTCTTCTTTAGACAAAACACTTTCAAGAATGGTTCGATAAGCTTCCATTTTGCCAAAAAATATATCACGCTGAGAAGTTACGCTGTTCTGCACGATTTGCTTTTGGGTTTCTAAGATTAAATCAACAATGGAAGAAAAGTTGCCCGCTTTATTTTTTGCTTCCTCAATTAACTTGACCACCTTCGTGCTCTCATTTCTTACTTTCGGTGCTAATTCTTGGACTTTAAGTCGGATAATCTCTTGCTTAAGTTTAGTTAAATTATACGGACTATTAGGTAAGGCTATATTGGACAATTCGTTTATCTGATTTTGCTGGTCTTTATTTTGGCTTTGTAATTCTTGATTTTCCTGCTCTAACTTTTTAATTCGTTGGTTATTGTCACTAATTTTTTTTATTTCTTGATCTAGTTGGGTTTGGATTTGCCTATTCGATTGCTTTAGATTGGTTTGCAATTTGTAATTCTCTTGGCAACTTTCTCGGAGAGCTTTGGAAAAATAGACATTGCTGCCAGTATGATCGCCAATTATGTCTCCTGGTCGAGGCAAACAAATTGCATGGATGTTAGGCGTATAAGCCAAAAAAGAAAAATTATCAATGCCGGTTTCAAATATGCTAATAAATGTAATTCCGGTCGATTGAGCAAGTTGTAAACTTGTTAATCGAGAGTTGCATCCAATGTCTACACTGGTTAAATTAGGATATTCTGATAAATCTAAATGTCCTTCTAATTGACACGATATAGCAGAGATTATTTTAACATTTTTAGGAAAATTACTTTCTATATATTCTTGAGCGTTTACCATATTATAAATGGCCTAGAATAAGTATATGCCGAAGTTATTTTTTTTTTTTGCTTATATTTTTAAATATCGAGTTAGGAAAAGAACTGCAAAACGGCTAATTTGTTTTATTATTTTATTTTTGTGTCCGTTGTAATTTGCAAATACTTTAGCCATCGTGTAACATGATACTTGACTTGACTTGATTTAATAAAAAATTTCTAAAGCTTTATATTTTTGTATTTAATAAACTTTCAAGCAATATGAAAAATGAACAGTATAACCGAATTTGAAAATAATTTGAAAAAAAAAAGAAAGTAAACCTTGCTTTCTTTAGGTAAAATATTTTTTTTATTATGTCGGGAATGTTAAATGAGGAATTTCGTTTATAAAGTTAGTTTAAAAATTTCCTACTACCATTATCTCCGCCCAGCCATATTCTTTTGGCCATATGTAGGGATGGGGACGGTTCAAAAAGAGCGACTCAGAGTCGGTTCTAAACCAAATCTATTCATAATTTACCTGGAGTTACAAACAATTTTTGCCAATTTTAAAAATCGAACCGGAACCGACTCAAAAAGTTGCATGTATATCAAATTAAGATAAGTACCGAATGGAACAGCCGTATGCCCTTTGGACAAATTGTCCCTGATATTTTCTTATGAATATGATATATAAACTTTACTTTAATTCGAATAATATCAGAGTTATTCTTGTCATAAATTTAAATTAATTTATCGGTTTTATTTATAATATAGAATATTTTCATAAATTATGTTAATAACGTTAACGTTGAGTTTTTTTCCTGAACTGCGTCTTACATTTTTTGATGATCGTGATCGACATGTATGACATGCCATGCACCTAATAAAGAAACGAGAATTGAAAAACTTTTTTTTCTATTAAATTTACTAAAATGTTCAACAGCAACGATAAAAGTGTAATAGAAAGTATTAAAAATATATTTACCAAAGCAAACGAAGGTAATAAAATAAGTTGGTTGATTTAGTTAAATAGGGATGGATCGGTCCTGGGTAAGACCGGTGAAGCCGTGATCCGTGACTGCGCTAAAATAAAGTCATGTGATCTAAATGATCGACATAGTTGATGAGTTGACCCTTAAGAAGAAACATAATAGACACAGATCAATTTAATGCCTTCGTTAATCAACTCACAACCTCTATTGATCAACTCACTCAGCAGGTCCAAAACAGACCAGCACAACAACCAACTGCAAGGGAAACCAATTTAGTTCCAATAAAACGCTTCTCAGAAAAAAGTGAAGAAGATCCATCTGATTGGATCACCCATTTTGAGAAAGTCGCGAAAGCTAACAACTGGAATAATGCACAAATGGTTGAAATTGCTGGAGGATTTCTCAATCATGTAGCCGCTGATTGGTATGAGGATTTTACATTTGATCAAGGTTGGAAAGTTGCAGCTGATGAAGATTATGCTGAGACTTTTGTGTCTAAATTCGAGAACCATTTTTCTACGATTGACCAACAAAACAAATGGCATTATGAACTCAATGATATTTTTCAAGGAAGGAATGAAAAAATAGAATCATACTCTAATAGATTAAAGAGATTAAGAAAGAAGGTAGACCCTGATAGTAATCTTCCAGAACCTTATGTTATTAGGTTATTCTTAAAGGGATTAAAAAAGGATTTAATGCAATATGTTGCTACTAGTAAATCTGCAGATATTAATGAAGCAATTTAAGAGGCTATCGACTATGAGGCTGAAGTTTATTTTGAGAGACAAGCTGAAAGACAGGAACGTCAAGTAGATCGGTGAACTAAAGCTTCTACGGATAACGCTCTTGAAGCTCTAACGAAACAAATGGAAAAGCTAACTCTTAATTATGCTAATATTGTTTTAGCCTTAAATGTTCAAACCCAAACGAGACTTAGAACCACAGGTCAAAAACCAGATAAATCCCAAATTACTTGTTTTAATTGTCAAAAGAAAGGTCATTACTCTAGGGAATGTGATTTGCCTCCTAAAAAGAGAAAGGATGCAAATATGTTCAAAGTTTATTCTGATCTTGATTCAGAAGATGAAGGAGAGGATTATGAAGAAGTCTATGCTACTCTAAAAGTAAGGGTCACTCCATATACTACTAATAGGAGAGAAGCAAAAGAAAGAAGCAAAAAGACTTCTGAATTTCAACAAGAAATAAGATTAAGAAATAGGAATGTAATTAAACTAATTCCTCTAACCCCTCCAATGGATTTTGAAGAAAGAACTTTCACTCCAAAGGTTAAAAAACCTCAAAGAAAAATACCACGCACTCCTTCTGCTATTGACCAACTAGCTTCTTATAATGTTGCTGAGGATATTCTAAACTTACCTTCGTCTGCAAAACTTAGACAATGGTTAAAATATCCAGATCAAAGAAGAAATTTAGCTAATGCTTTAAAAAGAGCTATCATTAAAGAAACTAATAATGTTGACCTTGACGATGAATATATAAGTGACAATGATGATACTTCTACAACTGCAGTTAGGTGTACTATTCAAATCCATCATAACAATGTGCAAGCTATTCTTGACTCTGATGTAGCTATCAGTATTATTACAAGTAGTTTAGTCAAATGACTTAAGTTAAAGATTGATGAACCATCAAAAATAATCATCAATACTACCAATGGAAAAAGAACTAGAGTTTTAGAAAAAATTAATACTGTCAAGATGACTATTGGATCCATCCGTATGCCAATAACTCTACAAGTCATTGAGTCTCCTGACGAAAATTTACTATTGGGAACTGATTGGTTTAAAAGAACCAAAGCCATTCTCGACTTTGATAAAAGAAAAGTGAAGTTTAGATATCTTACGAAATCTGCCTCTGTTCCAATTACTTTTTATGACAGTTCTTCTGTTGAATTAGATGAAAAATCTGATACATTTATATATGAACTAATCGATGTAATTGAAGATCTAACTTATAATGATCAATATGAAGATGAAGATCTTGACGAATGAGATATCTTTTATTTTAATAGTGAAAAAGACCTCTCTGATGAAGAAAGTTTATTTGACTTTAATGAAAATGAGCTATTTGCCAACTCTTGAAATGACAATCTAGCAGTATTCTTAGCTCAAACTGAACAGCCAAAGTCTCAAAATAATGAATGGAAAATCCAGGAAGACTTACATGTTGGACCCTTGGATGTCAACCAACAAGAAGTTTTTGAGCAATTCGTTGAAGAAAATAAAGATATCTGTGCTCTTAGTCAAACAAAAATTGGTTATACAACTTTGTTTCAACATCAAATTCCTACAGGAGATCATGAACTAATCGCTGGTCCTGCATACCGTTTGAAGGATTTATCTAAATTAAAATTTCTTTAAGATGAAATCAAAAGAATGGAAGAAAATGATATTATCCAAAAGTCAAAAAGCCCTTGAGCTTCACCAGTTGTTATCGTATCCAAGAAAACTGGAGATGCACGCATCTGTATTGACTATAGGAAACTTAACGCTATAACAAAAAGAGATGCTTATCCCCTCCCACTTATTGACGACTTGCTTGAGAAATTTAGAAATGCAAGTTGGTTTTCTACTCTCGATCTTGCTAGTGGATATTGGCAAGTAGAAATGGAAGAGAGTGATCGTGAGAAAACTGCTTTTATTTGCCCATATAGTCTGTATAAATTCAAAAGAATTCCTTTTGGATTAAAGAATGCTCCTGAAACCTTTCAATGTTTAATGAATTTTGTCTTACAAGAATACCTCTATAAGTTTGTAGCAGTATATTTAGATGATATTCAAAAATATATAAAGAACATTTACAACATTTGCAAATGGTATTTGAAGCAATCAGAAAGGCCAATTTAATGATTAAATTAAAAAAGTGTCAATTTTGTCTTTCAAATATCCCATTCCTTGGACACATTATAGGAAGAAGTGGTTTGCAACCAGATCCTGAAAAAATTTGAAAAATCAAAGAACTTCTAGCACCTAAAGGGTTAACTGAATTAAAAGCAGCCTTTAGTTTGTTCTCATATTATCGAAAGTTTGTGAAAGGATTCTCTCAAATTGCTAAACCAATAACAACCTTACTAAAGAAGGACGCTCTTTATATTTGGACAAACAATCAACAAGAATCTTTTGATAAATTAAAAGAGAAATTGATTATATCACAAATCCTTCAATATTCTGATTTTTCTAAGAAGTTTATACTCTATACTGACGCTTCAGGAGTAGGACTTGGAACAGTATTATCTCAACTCGATGAAAATAAAAATGAACATGTTATTGCATATGCAAGTAAAAGCATGAACAAAGCTGAACAAAATTATTCAATTACAGATTAAGAATGTTTAGCAGTAGTCTGAGCTATTAGAAACTTTCATCATTATCTTAGCTTCAAACCTTTCACCGTCGTAATTGATCACTCTGCCCTTAAATGGTTAAAAACTTTGAAAATACCAAAAGGACGACGTGCACGATGGATAATGGAGTTGTAACAATATAACTTTAATATTCAACACAGACCTGGGAAAAATAATGCTAACGCCGATGTATTATCTCGATTAATCTCTAAAAATGAACAAGATAATTCCTCAAAAGAAGTCTTTATGCTTATAACAAATGAAAATGATGACAAAGAAATAGAATGGCATGTTTCCTCTGAAAATAGTGAAACTTCATAAGAAAAAATAAACTTGAAGGAAGAATTGATGTCACAATACTCTCATGCACCTTTAATTACTATGGGATATCAATGTCCTAAAAATGAATTGGAAGATATTTTTAAAGAAAATATCAATATTAAGCAAGTTATAGCTAATCAACCAATAACTAAAAGCGAATCACAATGTAATTATAGTTGTGACATTGAAAACCATCATATTCACACATATTGCAAAGCGTGTAAGAGAAATTTGCCATATGGAACAATTGAACATCATTGTATCATTGGATTTGGTCCAGGACAAATTTAACCAGATATGAATCCCAATTATTTAACTAATAACCTTTAGTGGGATAAACCAATCTTAGTGTAACAAGAA